GATATCACGTTTTTTTCACGTTTTTACAGGATCGCATTCAAGATCACTTTTTTTTTATAGGTACGGAACCTTTTATTTGTTGGAAAAGTCAGTCGATCATATTTGGCAATTTTGTAGGGACCTCTAACTCTTGGATTTGTTTCGTCAACGAATGTGATATGTAGGTACGTTTACTTAAGCTATTCCACCTCAATACCGTAATATTTTAGTTAGAAGAAAAGAAAAGGTTAAGAAGTATGACTGGTGCATTGGGGAACACGTGCTGCTCCGAAATGGATTAACGCGAGTTGACAGCTCATATGAGACTCCGAGTTTTGCTCGTATGTCAACATTCTTATAATTGTATTTCACATTGTATCCTACCGTGAATAAAAAATGAACACTGAAGAAAACTTTGAATAATGTGCTTCAATTTACGCAATCAATCATTTTTCAGCAGTACTTTGTGCAAAACGTAGCTACAAGTGATAGCTTGAATTGCTTACTGCGTCCACATAAATTATAGTTAATGTTAGAGGAGGTGTTCATAGTAACTGGTCAATTAATGTCTCCTTTTTTGTCCTTGCTTAGATGATTAGGTCCTTTCAAGCATTTTTTTTCATACATACCTGGGAGAATTGAGTCAAAACTGAGTTTCATCCATACCGGGGACGCGTGTTACCACTACACTAACAAGGTACATTTGCGCCACCACTCATTCTTCAACATCTTTATGTTAGTTGTCATCCATCAACCTTCAACAGTTTTGATCGGGTATGCGATTTTCCTCTATAAACCCAGTTGAGCCTACAGTCATTGTGATAAGAAATACTTGAAATTTTTAGTGTTTTCACTGCATTTTTCGCAGTGCTATGATGTTTCATACATATCTAAGAGGAATGAGTGGTGAGCTTTTTTTTGATGGGAAAAGAGGGAAACACAGTAGCAAAAAGAAATTCTGACGAAAATGGTTTCATAAAGTGAGGACTTTCAAGTTGTTATACTCAATAATGGCGATTTTTTTTTTGTTCCGAATCAACTAATATTGTTGAAATCAGCTTTGTGCTTATGATCATAAAACTCGACACAGAGAAAAGTGGAAAAATAAAAAAAATGAGTGGACCTCATCGCTTATAAAGTAGCCATGGAACTATGGTCAACCAATTATGACAGTGGAAACCTTCATTATTGTTTAGAACACGGAATATGGTCAACTGCAACTAGTTCTTGGCAAGAATACGAGTATACGAAGTAAAACTTTACAATTTCATAACGATGTCGCGTCTCCGATTGCCACACTTCTTTCTTTGCACTGTTTTAAAGCGCATCTTTTTTGAAGCATTTATGATCAGTCGGCAATATAGACCTCATCATAGAATGTAGAACGTTTCCTATCTTTCCTCAATCCAATCCACCTGAACTCCCTACACACCCGCGTTAACTTTCAGAACCAGGTGTAGCTCAGCCCATTTTTGATCATTTGCGAACTACTAAGAGGATTGAGTGGCGAGCAAAGATTTGATCTTAGAGGGAGTTGAACCGTGCTTCAGCCATACCAAGGGCGCGTGCTACCGCTACACTACAGAGGCCACCGCCTAACCACCTATTACTCATTGTTTAATATCTCTCTTTCATAGCTATCAGAGACCAACCTTTAACGGATTTGATCGGATAAGCAATATCGCTTTGCAATCCCAGCAAAGCTGGCAGCTAGTGTGATATATGATGTGCTAAAGAATTTTTATTGCCTACTATCTTTTCACAGTGTCATGCTCTATCAAATGCACCTAAGGTAACTGAGTGATTAGCAAAACTCAACAACTTAAATGATATTATTATAAAGTGATATTGCTTACCCAACTAAACCCTTCAAAAGTTGGTGGCTGATAGCTATGACAAAGAGAAATTGATGAATGAGTAGTGGGTAAGCGATGGCTTTGGTGATGTAGTGTAGCCCCCGGTATGGGTGAAACGGTTCTCAACTTCCGTGTTAGGTTGAAATGCTGACCATGAAATTTTCTTGGGTGCGTTTGATACAGCATAACATTGAGAGAAAGGGGTAGAAACAATAGAAATTCCAAGTATTTGTGAGTCACGTTCAATGCTTTTCCACTCTGTGATCTCGTTAAAACAAAGCTTTTTTATAACGATCGTTCTTCTTTGCTCGATGTGATCGTAGACAATGGATGGAACTGCCAGAATGTACTTTCTGAAGAATTTTTTAGATGTCGCATTGCGCACTAACTTTATGCTGTCCAATCAGAACCTCACCTGCCTTAGAATTGATGCAATCAGTATAATAAAGCATCAAATTAATATGCTTGATATTCATTTTCTGAGCTTTGCATGTGGTCTATTACGCACAAACATATAAAGCCCGATATGCCTGTTTTGGCCTTGATAGTCTCATCAGTCGGGCAGTAGCCTTCGCCTTTCAGCCAGTCCTCTCTGTGGAACCCAACCTCTGTATAGGAGCGTTCAAGCTTTTGGCCAATTTGACTCGCAGAAATAGAGTTGTTTCGAGTTGACGCTGCAAAAGCAGGGAGCTCATCTACTCAATCCACCTGCGCTTTTGGAAAGCACACCGTTCTTTTAGTTCTCGTTTAACTCTCTATCCACTACCTGGGGCGCGCCACGTTCCCTCTCGATTAAATGGGCGGGATCCTTCAAAGAAAGAGATTCGTGGAATGAAAAAAATAGACGCAATACAGTACAAAATTTTTTCGAAGTTGAGCAAGATCAAACTGATTCGCAACTTCCTCGGTCGACCACCTCTGATGGAGCTTCTCCGAAGACAGATTGCGAGTAACAGCAATGCAAACGAGAAATATGCAGTATTTAGACTTCTCAAAACCGCCTGTGGCTTCGAATGAGTCGTTACGTAACGACGGAGTACTAAACCTTCTTTGTCAGAAATCGACAAAATCTATGAATATAGGTGGCAAAATTGACAGAGAATACCCATTTTAAGCAGTAAGGAAAACCAGGTTTGTTGTTCACTGAATGATAGCCACAACTACCTGCATGTGGTCACATCGAAGTTTTTGAGAGGTTGGTACTTGAAGAGAAGTACAGGAATGTCTTGAAAGCAATAAACTGAAAAGACACGTGGGGTACGCAAAATTAGTAGGCAATACCAGTGACAAAGGGTGGAGAGGCAAGTTGTGAAGAATTAGTGGACATACTCAAAACTAATAATTGTAGAATTATGGGACAAAGTTTGTTTTATAATTTCATATAAATCTTAACTTTTGAAGTACGCTGCCAATCTAGAAATCATTTCAAGTTATCAATGAACTGGTGCAACATGCAAACTATTTATCGCTTTCTATAATCTAATTACGGTGTTTTGTGCTGAACTTCTATGGATACTGATTAATTTTTGGGTATCATGACCTGAAAATTGCCAAAACTTAAGGCCTACATCATAACATGCTACATACAGCCTATTATAATTGACTGAATGCCAAAGACACTGCCATTACGTAGCGAACCAACGCTTTTCTTTACACTATGAGAGCGGTATAAACTCTAAAAGCATATAGATGTGTAGATTAAATTGTGTTGTATTGAAATAGGACAAGAGATATAGAAAATTCTCCACTCTTGAGAGAACCTCAACCAAATAACGCAAATCGCTCATCGCTTCGCGATTTCCGCTGTGCACAGCGATTTCTATTGTCGTCCCAAACGGTTCAGACTTCTCGTGACTGCAAGCTCTGAATCCTATCAATAATATTATCAGTGTAATCCAGGACACGAGTGTTAGTGAAATACCCTTATTATCAATGATATTTGAGAGATACAGAAAATCAAAGGAGCTCGCAAATGCTGAACTGTGTCGCATTGCCACTTTAGCTGTAGGACCAAATCCAAATGAGAGTCACAATTTTTATTTTTTCCTAAGAAAAAACAGACCATTCAACTTTATTTTCTACTCAAAAAAATAGTAGGCAACAGTTCCTAATCCTATAGATATTTGCAGGCACTTCCACTTCCTGCAACGATCTAATACTAAGCTTTATTCCTTTTATTACGCATTATTTGATATAGACATCAGAAGAACTGCCTATAAATATACTTGTTACACCTAGACAAATATCATGATTTGAAAATTGAGGAAAGCGGAGTATTCGTTTGAAGGTAATATTGGATACTGTATGGAATTTGATTGACGGTAAAGACTAGTTATGTTTCCAGTGACTTGATTGTAAACATTCGGTTAATTTCGTCAATTGTTTTTACATAAGGTATGCGCAAATCTTACACTCCAGCAGCAGGTAATTCATAGCCTGAATTCACCTGTGTCTTAAGGAAGCACAGAAAGTTCTTTCGTCGTGTTTAAACTCCTTATACAACACCATGAAACACATCTCGTAAACTATGCGAGCGGTCAGCCAAGAATCATTTGTAAGAGAAAGTCGTGCTTTACGTCATAGGCTACCAAAAACCCCTCGCATCAAATGTGTAGCGGCATACACAACAAAATGTTTTCGCCTTGATGTCGTAGTCGGAAAGCAGCTCACTAATGGTCATACCCATGCACACTGACTTATTTCTAATGCTGTTTACTTTTGTGAAGAAATGGCCTAGCACAGTGGTAAGTAGGGTTCGATCTAGCTCCTCGACTCAAAAAATTTTTCATTATTCCGAAATTGCAAATCAAAGAATTTCTTGAGAGGATTGATATGCATGTCAACTGTACATTCAATCACCTTCAACGATGTTAGAGAGGTTGAAGACGTAGAACTTTCTTTGAAGATACGTCGACAGATCGATTAGGACTGGTAACTAAGTAAGATACAAAAAATGTAAACAGGAAAATATGTTTTTCTATTTGTTTCTTTACTTAGGAAAGATCTTTACGTTCTGAACCATCTGCAAAAAAGCGTTTTGGCATTATGGACGATGACATGTATGCCTAACCGATGATATCATACCCGACCACGGCCAAACCTGCTAAGGGCTGGTGGCTAACGGATAACATAGAGATGTTGAAGAATGAGTGGTGGCGCAAATGTGCCCTTGTAGTGTAGTGCTAGCACGCGTCTCCGGTGAGGACAAGACGCGGGTTCAATTCCCTCTTGAGGTCGTGTTTTTGTTCACCACTCAGATCGCTTAGGTATACATGGTTACATTTCTGATAAGAGCGACTCACAATGGTACGTTTTGTATGCGACGTTTTCTTGCCGAAATGAGAGAAACGAAAGTAGAATAGAACAACAATGAGGCTGCAAATTACAAATTTTAGTATATATTCTATTTAAGCAAGACCGTTGACCAATACACTACTTTTCCAAGAACAAGGTAACATAGTGAAGTAAGATTTCTTCATATATGAACTGACATCTTCATGTGCTTCGTTCGGAATTTGGACAAAAATCAAACACCCGGTACTGCATCAGTTATGTTCGAACTCCTGTACAATCCAGCATTCTATTAGAGCTGCTGTGAATTCAACTTTACTTATTCTCTTATATTCCTGTGTACGGAATTGTAAGCAACTCTGTGCCTAGAAGGATCCTTCAACAAGCTCATGGTCTTCAGCTCTATTACACACTCAAAGCTCCAAAGTTCTCGTATATCTCAGGAAGACAAAAAATCGGCAGCATGCATACTCGAAGAATAGCAGCTTTAACTTTACACATTGGAAGAGCATAGCAAGCCTTTGTACAAGTTAGATACGTGTTCATTTATCTTCAGATGTACTCATTATGATCAAGTGCATGTTGTATCTTTCAAGTGCTGATCAACGTCCGCAACTTTATCTCCTCATTCCAAAAGCGACAACACCTACTGAAATGCTTTATGCCGAGTAGGCAAATAGTTTTGAAAATCCCTAACTCTGATTTATCGCGTGAAAAGTCCTCGCTCAAAGTGCTGAAATAAGCGGAAGAGAACTAACACTCTTTTCCTAATTGAGTCGAAGAACTCGAAGACAGATTATGAGGTTGCAGTAACTTTTGATAGTATTTGCTGCTTCCATCTATACTCACGTTGCGCTATTTGACGCGTATCTCTTTCTCATGAAACCCAATCGTATCTTACCATACGGCAAAGTAAATGGCGTTAACAAAGCACTCACCCATCCAGTGAAAAGCTCAGCTGCCATAGAAATGTGCCAGTGAAGTAGACAGCCCAATGATTTTCAAAAAGCGGACGATTCCAATTAGAGCTAACATGTTGAAAAAGAAATATACCGTTTGCGCTGACTGTTTGTAAAAAGTATATTCCAAATTCGCTCAAGTGATTCTGGTAAAACTGCTGCAATACTCGATCCAATCTATGTTAACTTGGGAGTTTCACCTGTTTAAAGAAGCGGATTTCCATTTTTTGCCTATTTTGATAGGCGGAATATATGTAGATACCATCGGATTTGTGGGACTGCACAATCTTAGAGTGCAAATTCATAAATCCTTATCACACGAAATCTTCATCACATGCTCCATGGTTGCACTTGCTTCACAAAAAATGCTACCGTTTGATTTACAGGTCTTCAATATAGAGGGATTCTAAGTGGATGTTCGCAAAGCCTAAGGTAAGAGCAGCACTATCATAGGGAAATTAAATGTGTACAAAAGTGGTCATGTGGTCTTCGAGAACGCAGAAGAGATCAAGGTATGAGCTTTCTCTTCTGGCAACTTGAAGATCACGTATGCCTTTTTGTTCGAGTCATGTCGGCTGAAGTCAATAATTATGGCTTTGACAGTTACACTAAAAGGGTGAGAGTTGCCTTCAATGAATAATCTCTCTTCGTGACTCCACGCGAGCTAACCAGCCACCTGCGATTACCCGGTGCCCACGCTCAGAGCTCATCGTGTATTTGTGAACACCTGAAAGTAAACATGTCATGTAACTAAGTATTAACTCCTTAATTTTGAAAGAGTCCACGATGCGGTACCGTTGGCTTCAACGAGCATGGGCGAGGCAGAAAAAATCTTATAGCCCTGTTATGCTTCCTTAATCTCGAACAACTAAGTTGACCTATGATACACCTATGCTATATGTTCATTTGCACTCCATAAAGCACTTAATCACGGAAACACGGAGGAATACGCTAAGTGTCATTGATGTTCCTGAAAAGAGAAGACGCCACCAATTTTGAGCTGATGCGAACACTGAAGACTAATTGCTTATCCAGATATGTGGTAATACAAGTTAGCGAAGTTCTACAGAAAACAGAGCGACAATTTTATTCATGATTATGCAAATTATCAAGGAGAAGTACATTTCTTCCTAGTATATCATTACTCTTACTCTTATTCATAAGTTTCTCCTCACCATCGGTCTAAAAGAAACACTTGGAAGTTACATGACTTCTCTTATTTCACTAAGGAAAGGCGAAATAGCGTTGAGCTAAAAACGTTTGCGTTCTTTATTTACAAAGCAGTCCATAAAAAACACCCTTCCGATACAGAAACTTCTCCGTGGTCCCTAACGTTAGTCCCTTGGTTAAATGCTTCTGTCTACTTTAATGTATACATTCTTAACTTGTGTTATCTCTGTACACAGTAAATAATGGTAACCCAGAGTCAGTTGGAGGCATGTTCTTTAAAGTTACCACTATAGGTAGCAACTCGGATATTGGACGGTCACGTCACATTTATAATTATCATAGAAACGTGCTGTGTGAAAAATCCCTTTGAGTTTATGACGATGACGAAGCTCATCAGTAGCAACTCAATGTTGTAGAAGCCTCACTCTAAACGATAGACGTTGGATCTCCAATATAGAGCACAAAAAGAAAATAGTTTCTGCCATGATAAATCGAAGATTTTGCCTAACTGATTTCTTGCCTATCGATTATCGTAATATATCTTACGAATCGGATTTTTCTATTTGTTGTTCAAGATTATACTATTTGCAAAAAGAAGAAAAAGTCAAATAGAATTTTTAAAACCTTTTTGGAGTTTTGCCATGGTACCTCATGTGTTAGACGTCCGGTGTATATAGTGTACCGAATGACAAGTGCCACTGATAAGGTGTGCGGGAACACCGAAAAGCACGTCTAGCACTCGAGTTGTCATATCAGACCTCTGACAGGCCCAAAAATTTCTATCAGATTACATTGAATTTCAAGCGAGATCTCGAAATAGTCGACTGTAAGGTTTTGAAGAAAAAGCCAGTAAATTTAAAAGCGGAAGCCTTGTTCGTAGAACCCGGATGATGTACAATTCATTAGTTGGTTAACGAAATTATGTTTGATTGTGTTTCACACTCAAGCATTTTTTGTCCAACTGGACTTTTTTCTAGAGCCTTTTACAATGGTGCAATGGCACAGTTCTCAGCAGCTGCAATGATATACTTGGTTAACCAAAGAGAATTTGCAATGCACTGTAGCAAAAAAGATTGTGTTACTCACTTAACGCGCACTGGGGCTCACATGTGGCGTGCAATTTTTGCTCCTGATTTAGGGTTTTTCCGTTCTGAAAAACTTTACATAGAACTTATGCTACCAATACTCCATGACTTCCTATGTATGTTCACATGTTTCTTGTGCATATTCGTCAGCTACTTAGACTTGGGCTTAGGCTGCATAGGTTTATGCTTAGTGCTGACGAGACTAATGTCTTAGGCTTTGCTAGCGGGTATACGTACCTAGGTAGAATGGAAAATGAAAAGAGTAAGCCCTAGAACGATTGAGCATGGTTTTTGCACACCTAGCTTTAGAATCACCTAAATTTATGTTATTACAAAACCGTTGTTGTTGGAAAAACGCGGTGGCATGGTGCCAATGATGTGTAATCTTGCTCATATTTCCGAACAATGAATGCTCGCTCAGTGCAAAATCCAATATTTTTTTTGGCTGCTATAGCGCACTAAAAGTCTTTTCAAGCAGTCAAGAACACTGCTAAATTGTCGAAATTCGTGTTATCGAATGATCCTTGAAGTCATAGGAAAACTCTGTCCAGCGAAAATGGTTAAGCACGGGGCATATTTTCCCTTTGTCACAATGTAGCAAAAGGGCCATTTTGAAAAGGGCAGTCATCAAAATTCCTGCGATATATGCTATCAAATCACTATCTAGGCTTTCAAATGAAATAAAAGCAAGAAACGCGTCTTCTACATGCGGGTGGAACAAGGCGCTGATAACGGGATGGTTGCAGAATTTATCGTTTTAAAGCCATATTTAAACGGTAACATGACTTATGAAATATCGCAAGAGTAAACCACTTTATCTCACTTCCTTTGACATATAGAAACTTTTGACTCAATTTCCTTCAACCGGCTGTTTACTATGAATGTCGCTGAAATATTTACATAACACCTGTATCATCTGTCGTCCCGTTGATCGTCGAGTGACTCAAGCGTGTACCAGCAACACTTCCAGTTTTCCTTATCGCATGCTAGAGCAGGCCCAGTGGGTCCTCCTCGCTCTAGAGATTTGCTGAGAATCATATGTTTCTTATGCCTTTTAAGAAGAA